CTAAAAACACAAAAATTAGCTGGGTGTGGTGGCGCACACCTGTAATCCCAGCTAGTTGGGAGGCTGAGGCAGGAGAATTACTTGAACCTGGGAGGCAGAGGTTATAGTGAGCCGAGATCATGCCACTGCACTCCAGCCTAGCAACAGAGGGAGACTCCATCTCAAAAACAAAACAAAACAAAACAAAACAAAGCTGGGGATGGCAGGGTACAGTGGCTCATGCCTGTAATCCCAACAATTTGGGAGGCCGAGGCACGTGGATCACCTGAAGTCAGTAGTTCGAGACCAACCTGGCCATGTAGAAACCCCGTCTCTCTACTAAAAAATATGCCCCCCCAAAATTGCTTGAACCCAGGAGGCGGAGGTTGGCAACAGAGTGAGACTCCATCTCAAAAAAAAAAAAAAAAAAAATGCTGGGGATCCTGAGAGCCCAGGAGGTGAAGCAGCTGCCCAACCAGAAGTGGCACTGGGCCTAGAACCCACATTTGCCTTACCTCTCGCCCTGCCTTGCTCCCAGCCACTGTCCCCCTCTTAACTCCCCTTGCACAAGGCCTTGATGCAACCTGGTACTGGCCTGGGGCACCCTGCTTGAGGACAGTGTTGGGAAGGAGGTTTTGCAAGAGTTGCAGCAGGAAGCAGCACCAGCCAGGGCGGGTCCAGGGAGATAAGGGCACCCTCGCCCTTCCCTGTGCTCCTCCTGGCCTTCTGGTTTCCTCTTCCCTTCCCTTCCCTTTCCTGGAAAGTGGCGCCCGCCTGGACCCTGGCCCCAGCCTCACCCAGCTCCTGGCCTGGCCCTGTGACTCACCTCCTTTCTTTCTGGCAGCTGTGCTGGGATGTGAGGCCTGCCTGCCACCAGGAAGGCCTGCTGTGTGTGACCCTGGGCAGCAGGGAGCTCTCTCTGGCTGGCAGTTCCTGGTGCTCAATAAGAGTGACTGGCATGGGTCAGGTGTGGTGGCTCACGCCTGTAACCCCAGTACTTTGGGAGGTTGAGGCGGGCGGATCACCTGAGGTCAGGAGTTCAGGACTGGCCTGGGCGACATGGTGAAACCTCGTCTCTACTAAATATACAAAAATTAGCCAGATGTGGTGGTGCACGTCTGTAATTCCAGCTACTCAGAAGGCTGAGGTACGAGAATTGCTTGAACTCAGGAGGCGGAGGTTGCAGTAAGCCAAGATCACGCCACTGCACTCCAGCCTGGGTGACACAGCGAGACTCCGTCTCACGAAAAAAAAAAAAAAAAAACCTGGGCACGGTGGCTCATGCCTATAATCCCAGCACTTTGGGAGGCTGAGGCAGGTGGATCACCTGAAGTCAGGAGTTTGAGAGCAGCCTGGCCAACATTGTAAAACCCCGTCTCTACTAAAAATACAAAAATTAGCTGGGTGTGTTGGCAGATGCCTGTAATTCCAGCTTCTTGGGAAGCTGAGGCAGAAGAATTGCTTGCTTCTGGGAAGTGGAGGTTGCAATGAGTCAAGATCGCCCCATTGCACTCCAGTCTGGGTGACAAGAGGAAAACTCTGTCTAAAAAAAAAAAAAGACATTCCCCAACGTGGGTTGCAAAAGTTGTGAAATGTGTATATTTCTTGCATTTATCTGATGTATGCTTTTAAAACAAATAAACATAATGACCAGGTATTATTTCAGTTGGAAATAAGATGAAAGGCTTTATGAACTAGACATACTCTGGGAACATGAGGCCCCTCATAAGCCTGATTTGGACAAGTCTGATTTCTGGAAAGTCCTCTAAGTCAATGTGCAATGTGGCCTTGGGCAGGTCACCACACTTGTTTGATGCCTCCGTTTTGTCATCTGAAAAGTGAATATAGGCTGGGCACGGTGGCTCACGTCTGTAATCTCAGCTCTTTGGGAAGCTGAGGCAGGCAGATCCCTTGAGGTCAGGAGTTTGAGACCAGCCTGGCCAACATGGTGAAAACTCTTTTCTATAAAAACATACAATTAGCTGGGCATGGTGGCACTTGCCTGTAATCTCGGTGACTCAGGAGGCTGAGGCAGGAGGACCACTTGAACCTGGGAGGTGGAGGCTGCAGTGAGCCAAGATGGTGCCACTGCACCCCAGCCTGGGGAATAGAGGAAGACTCTGTCTCAAGAAAAACAAACAAAAAAAAGTGGATATAGCAGTAGGCCCACACCTGGTAGGGCTGTTGAGACAATCCACTCAAAACACGTTATTGCAACATGCACTACTGTGAGCCTGTGCTATGCTTTTTAGGTGCATTGGTTCAATTAGTCCTTGAGGCCCAGGTTCTGAAGCCCATTTTCCAAAAAAAGAAAAGAGGCTCTGACAGGTGAAGTGATGAGCATCAACGCTGATTCTGGGCTTGGGTTCTACCTGCCTCCCTACTAAAATGTTAGCCTACTACTCTTGTGGTAGTGGTGGTTGTTACTGTTATTCAAATGACCGTATGATGATAGCACTGGCCTCGTTAAAGTTCTGACGATTAAATGAATTGATATTGTAAAGAGTTTAGTATGGTGCCTAGCACATAATAAGCTCTCCGTATTTCTTAAATAATATTAACATTACATCCCCGGAAAGGCAGAGTTCAGTGCTCAAGAAACTTGGTCCTGGGGTTTCTCGGCATCTTCCACCCCAGCTCCTGGCTGCGTCCTGTCCAGGAGAGGTTAAGGAGTTAATGATTTCCAAAGGAGCAGGGTTTTGTGTGCTACACGCACACACACCGGTGGCCTCTGTCCCCCTCCCTCCCTTTGCGAGGCCCGGAGCCTCTTATGCAAGCCGCCGGCGCCCGCCGGTTCCCAGGCCCGGCTGCAGCTGCGGGCGGAGGGGCAGGGCGGGGGCGGCGCGCTGTTTGTCTAGCGCGGCCGTGCCAAAGACTGCGGGCCCCAGACAGCCAGGCGCCTCCGTACACCTGGGGATGCTCAGGTTAAATAGCTCCGCATTCCTCGGGCCCAGCTGATGGAAACGCTCCCAGGCCGCCGCCGAGCCGGCCTCCAGATGGGCTGGGCCTGGGCCAAAGGGGAAAAGAGGGGAACGTGGAATCCAGAGTGTGCCTGAATGGCGGGGGAGGTGGCCCAGGCCCCTGCCGCAGCCCCTTCCTCCCCTGGAAGAAAGGCCCTGCATGTCGGAGTACGCGAGGGGGAACCTGCTTACGTTCCCGTGGGTGGGCTTGCAGGCCAGGGCCCACACGTGAGAGGGAGTGCGTGCACACGTGTGCCTCCGAGGACACTCCAAGGATGCACAGGCGACAATTAATCATGATAATATATAACTATGCAACATTGTGCCAAGCATTGTGCTAAACGTTTTAACCACTTACTTTCATTTATTCTGTACTACTTTCCGTGAGGTTAGTACTATTGATACAGCAGCCGGTGGAGAGGGGGTAGCAAAGAACATAATTCGCCTGCAAATACTGTGTTTGATAAAAGCCATAAACTGCTTGTGGAGGGGGTATAACTGGCTTAACGTTAGTGCTCAAGGAATCATAATCTTTCATTTGATTTTTTGTTCATCCCGTCTGTGAGCTTGTGTCTTCTGCTGTAAAACGGGGACCACAATCCCGCCTTTAGCCCCACAGGTATCCACGAAACCGTTTTTGTAAAGGGTTGAGTTGAGCAGAGCCAGGCTTCCGGTGCTAGGGGCTATTTATTTTATTCTATCGTTTATTGACAAAATGTATGAATAGCCCTTACCTTTCTGGGACAAGTTCTTTGCCATTCCTGGGACTCAGTTTCTCCATATGTAACACATGGGGATTTACCTGGCATCTATTCTTGAGGGTTGGTGCCCCCAGGACCTAATGATAGCCCAGGGAGTTGCCACGTGAACTTTTGAGGAAGGATTTGCCCAAACATAGCTGTCCCCACCTTCACTCCAGACCCGCAGAGGCCCAGGAATGCCAACCAATCTATGGAACAATTATATACACAGAAACCCACAGTGTGGTTCTGTGGCCCCCAGACATTCAAACCCATCCATCATCCCAGACCCATGCAGAGATGCCCACAATGCATTTAGGCAGAACACACAAGCCCAAACAGCTGGAGGTTCCACACTTATCTGCAGAACACATGTGCTCTATTTGCCCTTCTGCACACAGCCCCGAGCATACCCCTACTTACACCCCCAGGCCTATATGTGAATAGTTGGCCCATCCCCACCGTGGAGTAGCAGGGGGAGACCAGCTTACTCCTGTTAGGTACACAGGAGTAGACACCCATACACGCTTCCCTGAGTAGAAATCCACATACATGTCCAGGCAGATAGGCCGTTGCCAATGACGTATTTATCCTGCTCAGGAGCTGGGGAATGAGATTCCACTCCTCAGATCCTACCCAGGAACCCTGGGGTTGGGGGGAGATTTGTTTGAGCTGCCAACAGAGCCAGGCCAGGGTGATGTGGCTGAGTCTGGACCTAGAGCAGGTGTCCCAGCAGCTGTGCCCAACCTGGCCCTGCCAACTTGCTCACCCACTTGGATGAGCCAGGAGCCCCAGGGCGGCCTGCTGGAACCCAGAGGTAGGCTGTTGGGGGAGGCACCTCCTACTGGGGAATGGGGTGATAGAATCACTGCCTCTCACAAGCTATGGCCCTAAGCAAGTCCTTTTCCACTGGGTCTCATTTTATCCACATCTTGGCAAGGAAGTGGGTGGTCCAGCGACCACGTTCTCCAACTTAAATGGCTTGCTCAATACTCCAACACAGAGGGGGCCCTGGCAGGTTCATCTGCATTTTAACAACCTCCCCAGGTGATCCAGATGGCCCAATGATCACCTTGAGAAACCCCAGAGGTCTAGAGTATTTAGTTTTATAACACTAGGGAGCAGGGAAATGGCCGGGGATGGTGGGGGGAAGAATAGACTTTAAAGACACCGGAAACACTCATTCAGGCCGGTAAGAGCAACAATCCAGATGTAGCCCTCCAGTTCTCCTCCCAGAACCAGCTGTGAAGAGGGTCAGGGGTCAACCCCCAGCCGAGGACCCTCCCCTCAATGCAAGAAGTCACTGCCACCATCTAAATTATTTGTTTAATAACAAAGAAACAGCCCCACATAACTATTGTAAAACAATATTCTCAGTCGGTGATCATTGTAATATACAATACAAAGCAATTTCCTCAGAAATCTGAGAAGCACCAAACGTGACCATTTTTTAAAATGTCTGCTTTTCAAAAAATAGAAACACACGAGTGGAATCCCACCCCCTAAAGTCTCCGGTGACTAGTAGGTGTGGAGAGAGGGTCGCCCTCTCCTCTCCAGTCCCTCAGCCCTAGGCTGGATGCTGTAAGGGCGCAGTGGCCGCCGATCTGTCTAGTTCGCCCCCAGATCCGGCGAGGCGCGTTGGGGAGAGCACTTAATTCCTCTTGCCCCCGGATGGCTGGGGTGCGCCGATCCCTGGGGAATGCGCTTCAGCGACACAAGATGCGATCGTCCGTAGGAACGCATGCCGCCTGTGAAAACGAGAGAAGAGGTGAGACCGAAGCGTTGGGAGGGACGCCGCTCCGAGCGCAGCGGACGCCCCCTTCCCCAGGAGTACACGACGGGAGAGCGCTTTTTCCAGGCTCCTTAGGCACCCCCGGCATAGCCAGCTACCCGCAAAGATGGGACGGAACTGGTGCAAGCGCCCACACCCTCTCTGGCCTCAGTTTCCCCGTAGGTATAAGGATAATCTAGTGGTCGGATCTGGATCTCACCTCGGCCGTCAGGGCGCTGATCTCGCCGTTGAGGGTGCTTAGTGGAGCCCGGACCGGCAACCCTCGGCCCCCGGGGGTCCCGACTTCGGATTCCGAATTCAGCTCCAACTGCAGGTCCCTGATGTAGTCAATGACGTGCTGGAGGATCTCCACCTTGCTCACTTTGCGGTTCTGGGGCAGGGTGGGCACCAGCTCCTTGAGGCGTGAGTAGCAGCCGTTCATGTCGTAGAGCAGCACGTTCACCTGCTGCTCGTCAAGCAGGGCAGGCAGGCGCGCCCCGGCGCCCCCGGCGCAGCGCGAGATGGCCACGCTCTGCTCAGACAGGCAGCGCACCACCTCGCCCGCGCCGCCCGCTGTCTTGCCGGCCTTCAGCGCGCAGCTGGGGCCTGCGGCGGCGGCGGTGCTGCCACTGGCTACTTTCATGATTTCCGGCGACTGGCTGAAACGGAATGGGCAAAACGAACGGAGAAGGCGGGAGCCCGAAGCAGAGGCGGAAAACGGAACAGTTAGGAACGTGGAATGAAAACGCGTAGCCACCGCAGGTCTTTTATAAACATGCCACGGCCCCCGGAGGGGCGGGCTCAGAACGTTCAAAAGCAGCCAATGGGCGGTATGGGGGCGTGGCCCGCGCTCCTAGGTCCCGCCTTATGCTTTTCTAGTGCACCCTCTCAATCTGGAAAGACTACCCGAGTTTCAAGAACAGCTAGGGTGGGTGGGTGGTAAGGGCAGCGGGTGGAGGCGAGGGCTGCACTGGGCTCCTCGTGAAGGAGGCAAGGAAGCTAAGCCGGCATTGCCTTATAATGAAAAGACCTCAGGAATCAGTTTTTCCCATATTCACTTTCTCACTTCTCCAGCTCCATTTCACAGATGAGAGAAGTTGAGGCCCAAACGGAGAAGCGGCTGGCTCTGGATAGCCCAGAGAGCCTGGGTTTCCGGACCCTCTTGGAAGATACCTGTGGGACCTTGATCTACAAATATCAGGACCGAAACTTAAAGCCGGCGCTCCTTTACATCTGCTCCCCTGGGGTTTCTCAATTTCTAGATAATGTTGCTGTTCGTGTTCCTGAAACCCGCAGGGCCTACCCAGATCCCCCCCAGGTCGGAGCAATTAATTCGGGAAGGTCTAGTAAGTTTGAGGCTGGATGGCTGGGAAGTGAACTAGATAGAGTGCAGTGGAGTGAGGCTGCATTCGATTCCACCTTGAATTTGCAGCCCCTTGCAAAAATTTCCTAAACCTGCAACAACTCGTGACTTTTAAATGTTTTTTCCCATTTTTGGCTACATTTTTAAATTTTTTTTTCAAAGACCTCAGAGCAGGGTCTCCCTCCCACGGCGCAGCAGCTGCGGAGCTAGTCTCCCCCCTCTCCTTCCCGGGCCGGTCTGTGTCAGCGTCTGAACAAGCGGCTCAGACCGTTAGACGCCAGGCCTGTGACGTCACCCATTCATAAAACCCGGACGGACTGTCAGGCTGGCGCCGCGCGGGCGGTCGCCATGGAGACGACAAACTGAGCTAGCTAGTTCCCTCGCTCCCCACAGCCCGTCACCTGCAGACCAAGGGCGGGAGGCCTGGGAATGCGTTCCTCGCGGGCGCGGTCGCTGAGCAAGGGTCACCTTACCTCCCCACCCCACACCTGCGAATCTCCCCACAGCACAGCCTGGGCCGCTTGGGAGGTTTCCTCACTGCTCCCCCCACCTCCCCGCCCCAGCTACCCGCTCCAGCGTGGGGAAAAAGGCCTGAGTTCCCTTTCCAGCTCTGCAGCTGGGTAGATTCAGGCGGGTCGCATGCCCTCTCTGAGCCCTAATATTTAATATTTGCCTGGTATTTTAATAATCACAAACGTGACCATTACTTTGTACACCGGGCACTGTGTGAAGAGTTTCTCTTGATCATCTTTTTTCATTTATTTCTTATCTTAAAAAATGAAGGCCTGCGCGATGGCTCACGCCTGTAATCCCAGCACTTTGGGAGGCTGAGGCGGGTGGATTGCCTGAGGTCATGAGTTCGAGACCAGCCTGACCAATATGGTGAAACCCCACCTCTACTAAAAATACAAAAATTAGCCCGGCATAGTAGCGTGCGCCTGTAATCCCAGCTACTCGGGAGGCAGAGACAGAATTGCTTGAACCTGGGAGGCGGAGGTTGCAGTGAGCCGAGATAGAGCCACTGCACTCCAGCCTGGCCACAGGGTGGGACTCCATCTCAAAACAAAAACAAAAACAAAAAACGGGGCGCAGTGGCTCACACCTGTAACCCCAGCACTTTGGGAGGCCGAGGCTGGCGGATCACGAGGTCAGGAGATCTAGACCATCCTGGCTAACACGGTGAAACCCCGTCTCTACTAAAAATAGAAAAAATTAGTCGGGCGAGGTGGCGGGCGTCTGTACTCCCAGCTACTCGGCAGGCTGAGGCACGAGAATGGTGTGAACCCAGGAGGCGGAGCTTGCAGTGAGCCGAGACTGCGCCACTGCAGTCCAGCCTGGGCAACAGAGCAGACTTCGTCTCAAAAAAAAAAAAAAAAAAAAAAAGATACCGGGGTCCGGGCGCAGTGGCTCACGCAGTGGCTCCCAGCACTTGGAGAGGCCGAGGCGGGCGGATCACTAGGTCACGAGTTCGAGACCAGCCTGACCAACATGGTGAAACCTCGTCTCTACTGAAAATAAAAAATTAGCCGGGCATGGTGGCATGTGCCTGAAAATAAAAAATTAGCCGGGCGTGGTGGCGCGCGCCTGTAATCCCCCAGCTACTCAGGAGGCTGAGGCAGGAGACTCGCTTGAGCCCAGGAGGCGGAGGTTGCAGGGAGCCGAGATCACACTACTGCACAACAGCCTGGGCAACAGAGCGAGACTCTGTCTCAAAATAAAATAATAATGATACAGGGTCTCACTCTGTCACCCAGCTTGATCAAGTTCTGTAGTCTTTTTCACAACTCTAAGGAGAGGAGCTATTTGGTGTCTTTATACAAAGGAGGAAACTGAGGCTCCAGAAGACATCTGAGAGTTATAATCATAGTTGCGTTATTATAAGGAGGGTACAGTATTGCAATGCAATCGCTTCCTGTTGAGAGCAGGCAGTCTGATTGCAAAGTTCTGGACATGCCACAGGTGGGGAAACTGAAGCTCAGGTTAGTCACCTAAAGCCATAAAACATTAGCAGGGGTAAAAATCTGTGCCCACCAGTGAAAGATGATATTATGGTCCCTCCCTGCTCCCCTCCGCCCCACTATCCCGCAGCAATGAATTCACTGAGTTATCAGCAGGTTCCGTTTTCCCACAGAAGTTTGGGGGAGGAGGGAAAAGTAAAGGAGCCTTCTGTCTCCACATCAGGAAACCAGGAAAACCAAACCAATCAGTGAGACCAGCTTCAAAAGAGACAGACATCATCAATTAATTAGCTAGACTCCTCATCCCCTTACCACACACACCAAAACTCTCTCAACTCCCTATGCCTTGTTTAGCAATCCTAAATTAATGATGGCAGGGAATAGTTTGCTGCTCAAAAGAACTGCCAAATAATTGGAAGAACAATGGTCAACCAGAGGAAATTAGAGTATTAATTCATCACTAAGTGTTTATATTTATTTATTTTTGAGACAGAGTCTCGCTCTGTTGCCTAGACTGGAGTGCAGTGGCGCGATCTCAGTTCACTGCAATCACCACCTCCTGAGTTCAAGCAATTCTCCTGCCTCAGGCTCCCCAGTAGCTGGGATTACAGGCACCCACCACCACGCCCAGCTAATTTTTGTATTTTTAGTAGAGACGAGGTTTCGCCATGTTGGCTAGGGTGGTCTCAAACTCCTGACCTCAGATGATCCACCCGCCTTGGCTTGGCCTCCCAAACTGCTGGGATTACAGGCATGAGCCACTGTGCCCGGCCATCACCAACTGTTTATTTTATTTATTTTTATTTTATTTTTATTTATTTATTTATTTTGATACGGAGTCTCGCTCTGTCACACAGGCTGGAGTGACAGCCTGGAGTGCAGTGCAGTGGTGGGATCTCGGCTCACTGCAAGCTCTGCCTCCCGGGTTCAAGTGATTCTCCTGCCTCAGCCTCCCGAGTAGCTGGGACTACAGACGCCCGCCACCATGCCCAGCTAATTTTTTTGTATTTTTAGTAGAGACGGGGTTTCACCGTGTGTTAGCCAGGAAGGTCTTGATCTCCTGACCTCATGATCCGCCTGCCTCGGTCTCCCAAAGTGCTGGGATTACAGGCGTGAGCCACCGCGCCCGGCCTATTTATTTTTTTTGAGATGGAGTCTCAGATTGTTGCCCGGGCTGGAGTGCAATGGCGCAATCTCGGCTCACTGCAACCTCTGCCTCCTGGGTTCAAGCGATTCTCCTGCTTCAGCCTCCCGAGTAGCTGGGATTACAGGCACCCACCACCATGCCAGGCTAATTTTTTTGTCTTTTTAGTAGAGACAGGGTTTCACTATGTTGGCCAGGCTGGTCTCAAACTCCTGACCTTGTGATCTGTCCTCTTCAGCCTCCCAAAATGCTGGGATTACAGGCGTGAGCCACGGTGCCTGGCCTTCAACTGTGAATTAATTGACCAGCAATCCTGTTTACTGCAATGAATTCTAGAGAAAACAGCCTGGCCAACATAGGGAAACCCAGTCTCTACTAAAAATACAAAAATTAGCTGGGTGTGGTGGTGGGCACCTGTAGTCCCAAGTACTCGGGAGGCTGAGGCAGGAGAATCATTTGAACCCAGGAGGTGGAGGTTGCAGAGAGCCAAGATCAAGTCACTGCACTCCAGCCTGGGCGACAGAGTGAGACTCTGATTCAAAAACATAAAAATAGATAAAAATGAGAGAAAAAATTATGCTGTAGAAATTAATTCAGGGCCGGGCGCGGTGGCTCATGCCTGTAATCCCAGCAGTTTGTGAGGCTAAACCAGGTGGATAATCTGAGGTCAGGAGTTCGAGATCAATCTGGCCAACATGGTGAAACCTCATCTCTACTAAAAATATAAAAATTAGCAGGGCCTGGTGGTACACGCCTGTAATCCCAGCTACTCAGGAGGCTGAGGCAAGAGAATCTCTTGAACCTAGGAATTGGAGATTGCAGTGAGCCAAGATCCCACTGCTGCACTCCAGCCTGGGTGACAGAGAAAGACCCTGTCTCAAAATAAATACATAAAATAAAATGACATAATATTTGTGTGAAACCTATGCATATCCTTCTATACACTTTTTTTTTTTTGTAGATGGAATTTTGTTCTGTCACCCAGGCTGGAGTGCAATGGCATGATCTCGGCTCACTGCAACCTCTACCTCCCGGGTTCAAGCGATTCTCCTGCCTCAGCCTCCCGAGTAGCTGGCATTACAGGCACCCACTACCATCCCCGGCTAATTTTTGTGTTTTTAGTAGAGACAGGATTTCGCCACATTAGCCAGGCTGGTCTCGAACTCCTGACCTCAGGTGATCCGCCCTTCTCCGCTTTCC